GAGAGGGGGGGGGGTCATCCTTCGGAAGGGAAGACAGCAGGCACCATATGTGTATCTGGTGCTGAGAGGGGTGTCTCTGGTCCCCTGGGACCATCTGTCCCCATTGTACAGATGAGCAGACACATCTGCATGGCCCCATGATCCTCTGACTCACAGCTAGCATGGGGCCTTAGGAGCTGGGTAAAGAGCTAGGTGTGTTTGGCACACACTTTCAATACTTGGAAGGCAGAGGTGGGTATCTGTGAATTCTACAGAGTGAATTCCAGGCCAGCCAGGGCTACACAGAGAAACCCTGTTTAAAAACAAACAAACAAAACTAAAAACAAAAGAGCTGGGTAAAGGCGCAGGGTGGAAGCTAAAGGCTGGGATTCAATTTCTTCCCTGCCTCCCTGGGCCTCAAAATAAACCTGACCTCCTGAAGCTCTCCTCTCAGCTCCACAGAAACACTGTGCCCAGGCCGAGCCCAGGGTGGGGTCCTCAGGAGCTGACCCGAGCAGGACCTTGCTCTAGCCGCGGCCAGGCCCAGCCACAAGCAGCCTTGTGTGGTGGCCTCAGCCACAGCCCGCTGCTGAGCCCGACCCCAGCCTGGCCTCCAAGAGTCCCATTGTCTGCCTTCCCAGGCTGCTGAGTCTGGCTCCTGGACATCCGGAGTGGGGGCAGAAGGTGACCTGGGCCAGAGGTAGAGAACTGAATGTGGACTGTGTGAGGCTGTGGCCGATGCAAGGACAGCCCAGTGTCCACTGTGGTCTGGAAAGGAAGGAAAAAAAAAGACTCCGGCTCAGGATGGGATGCTGGGGTGGCCTGAGAGCAGGCAAGCTCCCACCAGTGTGTGCACTAGCTCTCTCTCTCTCTTTCTCTCTCTCTCTCTCTCTCTCTCTCTCTCTCTCTCTCTCTCTCTCTCACACACACACACACACACACACACACACACACACACAGCTGTCAAGTGCTATGGGCAGCCACCACGGCCACAGGAAGCACGGGAGAACACAGCCTTGGGGTCCCCACTGTATCATCTAATGCTCAAACACAACCTAATTTCTAGGGAGTCTCCTACATGCCGTGTTCAAGAATTCACTCCAACTAGGATCTAAAGTCCGTATGTCGCATTCCTCTGTCGTCCCCTGCTACTTTTTAAACTTCTGTGGTCACATTTGGGGTTAATAGACAAAGCCAGCGGGCTGTTGTGGGAACAGCCACAGCTAGGCTTGTGTGCCCACTATAGCACGGAGTCACCTCCCTCGTTCCCCCATCCCCAGGATTCCTGAGGACCAGAGTCAAGCCCCTGCTTTTTTAGCAGCCGCCTCACGGATACAGTTCACACACCGTAAAACTCACTCTTGTGTGTGTACATGTGTCAGTGTGTAGGTGTGCACGGAAGTGTATGTGTGGAGGTCAGAGGTCAGCCTCTGGTGTTGTGTCTCAGGCATCATCCACCTTGCTTTGTTTTTAGAAGATTTGTATTATTTGTAGGAGTGTGTGTGTGTGTGTGTGTGTGTGTGTGTGTGTACATGTGTGTACATGCTCATGAAAGCCAGAAGAGGGCGTCAGATCCCCTGGGGCTTGAGTAACAGGCGGCTGTGGTTTACTTGGTTCCTCTGAAGGAGCCATAAGGTTTATAACCTGACAGAACTTGCCGTCGGCCTCCTGCTGAGGGCACATGACCAGCTGCCCTGTGTTTCTGCCGAGTGCCTTCCCCATCGTGACGGCCTGAAACCGTGAGCCAACAAAAGCTCGTCCTCCATTAATTTCTCCTGGTCACCTCAGAGAGAAAAGTGATGGACAGATCCATCCGTGGGAGTGGGGTGGTCAGACTGATAGTTCACTTCCTGGGGACCATTTGGGGGAACTGCCAGGCTGTTCAAAGCAACACCATCCTTCCCAGTTTGGCCCCGAGACACCAGGGCTCACTCCTGTGGGGTCTCACTAACACTTCTTCCTCTCCGCTGTGTTGGTCACCCAGCAGGGTGACGTGCTGTCCCATAATGATGTCGCTTGGCCTTTCCTTGGTGACTAAAGGCTGCACAATTTGTAGAAATTTTTGGAGATATTTCCAATTGACTTCTTTGCCCGTTTTTACATTGTCTTATCCATTTTTTAAGGATTTTTTAAATGTTTTATTACACTTTATTTAGAGGGGACATACTCACTCATGTGACATGTGGCTGCCAGAGGACAAGAGTCACAGGCAGAAGTCAGTTCTCTCCGTCCACCATGGGGGTCCCAGAAACGAACTCAGGTTGTCAGGCTTGGGAGCAGGTGTCTTAACCAGCTTGTCCATCTCGCAGCCCCACTTCCAAGAGTCTTGGCCTCTTAAATACTGTGATCCGTTTCATATTTTCAAAGTCACCCCATCATTTGGTGAACGTACCCAGGCAGAGATTTAACCCAGATCTAACAGGCACTTAAACCCTATATTCCTAGCCCTGGGAAGCAAGGGCATTGCCCCAGTCAGGGGTCCACAGGGAGGAGGTGGGAAGAAGTGTCACATTGGCACTCAGGGGAGGGTGGCTGTGGCCGCTCGAAAAACTGTCAAGTCACAGCTCACAACAGGTGCCTTGCACGGGTTGATGGCTTTCTTTTATTTTGTTCCCAAGAACACACTAGATCCCACCACTAGTAGACAGCTTTATGCCACCATGACTGGGAAAGGTCTGGAAGGACTTTTGATGACCCAAAGAATTAGAGAGAAGAAAAAATGTAAAATCTAGAGTTTCATACATCTGTCAGCAATTGAAGGATAAAAATGATAAAGACTTATGGGTGGGGCTGTACTTGATGGTCAGCCAGCCTACTCTACTTGATGAATTTCAGGTCAGTGAGAGACCTTGTCTCAAAAAAATTAAAAAAGACACACAGTGTTTGAGGAATATTTGAGGTTGTCCTCTGATCTCCACATACTTGAGTAACCACACACACACACACACACACACACACACACACACACACACACACACACACAAACACATGATTGCCAAGGCCGAGTCCTAGGCGGGCTGTAAAGATTAGGGTTAACACAAATCAACTGGAGGTACCAGGAAAGAGGAGATGCTGGGGGTCTCTCCAGAGGGGCCAAGAAGCCTGCTAGAGAGGAGACAGCTCTGGAGGAATCAGCCCCAAGTTCAAGCACAGGCCAACACCTGGGTATCTAAATAAAAGACCCAGCCAGGTGTAGTTCTGCATCCTGGAATACCTGCACTTGGGAGGTGGAGGCAGGAGAATGAGCAGTTCAAGGCCAGCCTTGGCTACATAGAGAGTGTGAGGATAGCCTGAGCTATAGAAAACCCTGGAGAAAGAGAGAGAGCATAAACAGTAAACAGGAAATGACTCTGAACTTTTTTATTATGGAATGTTTTGTCAGACTTGAGAAGCAGCCTCATGGAGGCAGAGAAATTGCCCACTCCTGGAAAAGCTACCACATCTTTCTGAAGCGCAGAAGCCATCTCAGCTCCCGTGTCTGAAGTCTTGATTGACCATCTTGATTCCACCCATAATGATCTATACGCAAAAGTACAGGTAGGTGTGTTACACGGTTCTTAAAGAAAAATAACAACTTCACCACTGCGAGGGTCAGGCGGCTGAGCTGAGCTACAGACAGTGGACGCAAGTTGTCCCAGCCACCTCAAAGCCATAGAAAGCTTTTTAGAGGTAGAAGGAACATGAGGGGCCTCTACTCCATGCTCAGGAGGGAAAATGAGGACACAAAGGAAGGTGGGGCACAGTCTGTCACTCCCCTACCAAGAACCACAGGGTGACCTTCGGCAGGTCACCTCACCTCCATGCTACAAGCTTCTCCACCTGTGAAATGGAGATGGGACAGGGTCACCCTCAGTACCTGGTAAGGATGACAGGGGTGTGTGTCTGTGTGAGGTTTTTGGTGTGACTCTCTACATTCCCCCCTTTGTCTGTCTCCCTCTCCCATCTCTCTCTCTGGGCAGGGGGGTGGGGTGAGAAGAGTGTCTTACTGTGTAGCCCTGGCTCTCCTAGAATTCACTGTATTAGACCAGGCTGTCCTTGAACTCACAAGATCTGCTTGCCTCTGTCTCCTGAGTGCTGCCACGCCCGGCCAACCTCTTTGGTGACATCTGAGACCTGACACTGGCTGCATACTCACCCTGGCTTGCTGGGGGGAGGGAGGAACCTGTGCCAAGGCCAGAGCCTTATCCCAGTGAGGATTCAGGAGCAGGAGCCATGCAGACCACTGCAGTCTACAAGTTAAAGAAAAGAAAAGCCATTATCAAGCGCACTTTACGGAGAGATTACAGAATTTATCATCTGTCCATCTTACACTTCTGTGTTAAATTAATTCCTCAGTGTCTTAGTCTTGTTGATGCTAATGGAATAGAATTAACATAGTTTTTCCTTTTCTTTTTCTTTTTCTCTCTGAGTGTCTTCATTTGCTTTCTGTTGCTGTGATAAACACCATAACCAAAAGCAACTTGGGGAGAAAAAAAAAAGGTTTTTTTTTTAGCTTACACATCCCTATCACAGCCCATCATAAAGGGAAGTCAGGACAGAACCCTGGAGGAGGAGCTGATGCAGAGGCCATGGAGGAGTGCTGCTTCCTGGCTTGCTCCTCATGGTTTGCTCAGTCTATTTTGCAAAGTACCCAGGACCACCCACCCAGGGGAGGTGCCACATACAGGGAGCTGAGCCATCCCACATCAATGATCAATCAAGAAAATGCATAATAGGCCACCTTATGGGCAGACCAGTTGGGGGGCGTGTTTTCTCAGTTGAGGTTCCCTCCTCCCACGTGACCCTGGCTCCTCACCAGGACAGCATCCCAAGGCTGGAACCTAGAGCTCTGAGCACTCCAGGCACTCCAGCATGCCCCTCACCCCTCACCCTCCTTTAATTTTTTTAATTTTTTTTTTTTTGGCAGTTCCGGGAATTGAACCTATGGCCTCATGCAAGCAAGGCATGCACTCTGCCATGGGGCTACGGTCCCCTTAGGCCCTCCTTTAAATTTTTAACGTTACTTTTAAAAACAATTGCATGTGTGTGAATTTGTGCAAATGAATGCAGTTACTCAGAGTTCATAGGCTTTGGATCCCCAAGAGCTGGGGTTATAGGCATCTGGTTGTGAGCCACTCAACTTGGGGGCTGGGAACTGAATTCAGATCCTCTACGCGAATGGAAATATCTTAACTGCTGAGCCACCTTGCCAGTCCCTCATTTTTGAACTACATTTTACTGTTATTTTGTTAACTGGGAGAGGGAACACGCTTGCCATGGTCTGGGAGGACGTCAGAGGACAACCTAAGGTAGTTGACTCTTTCCTTCTACCATGGGGGCCCCTGGGATCCTCCTCAGGTCACCAGGATGGCCCGACCAGGAGTGGATCATATTGGACCCTGGGGATCTATGGTGCAGACTCGTAAGCATCCCGGAATGCCTACTCTGCCCCCTGCAACTGAGGGATACCTGAGTGGCCCTGGAGTTGTTTCCTAAGCTGTGGCCAGTGTGAAGCCTGGAACCTTCTAGATGCTCTTAAATCCTGTTTCCTCACGTTTTTGTGGCTTGGGGGCCAAACGGTAGAAGTTAAGGTTTTGTTACTGTGAACTCCTGATTGCAAAGAAAACTGTCTTAATTCTGCCCTGCTGGGAAGCCAAAACTTCTTCCAGCTGGGATCCAGAACGCTGAGAGGCCTGCCCTGGTCCCCACTGCCTCTGCCCGTCCTGCAGACCCTCGACCAGGACGGTGGCTTGGTCTTTCATTTCCCCCTAAGCAGTTACCTCTGAGGACAGGGGTTTGGGGGACCTTAGACAAGGGCTGAGGATAACAGTGAACCCTATTTCTGGGCCTCCAAATACTTGTTAAAGCATCAGCCAGTGTATTGGCAAATGGTGCCCCACATAACAGAAATCTGAGTCCTGGGTTCTCCATGGTAGCTGGGGGAATAAGCTGCCCTTTGGTGCCTCTCCTTTGTAGCCGGAGCTGGTGCTGGTGACTCAGGCACCATCCATCCCATGGAGAGACAGCCCAAATGGCTTCATGAGCAAACAATTCAGCCTCCAAACTTAACCCCAAACAGCCTAGAAGCACCCAGTGCAGATGTCACCTCCCCAGACTCGGCTCTTTGGAAAACGCTCCTGCACAGAAAGGCAGAAACCACAAAGACAGGAAGAGAGAAGGGGGTCTGTGAGTGCTTGGGATGGGATGGAAATACTGGGCAGAGGGCTCGACCTCAAACAGGTCTGTCCTCTTTAAGGAGGCGACAGCTAAACCACAGCTTGGGAGACAATCATTGTGTCCCCACGTGGGATTCTGTAATTAAATGTGGCAGGGGAGGGGGAGTCACCAAAAAACAAAAAACAACAACAAAAAGCAAAAAACACCTTGGCCATAGTAAAAGTTTCTTGCCATGCAATGGCGGCACACGCCTTTAATCCCAGCACTC